TACATTATTCAACCTTAAGAAATTTACCAAATGACTTAACAATCTTTTCTTCTTTGATAAAACTTAATTTATCAAGTTATTTAAGCTTTACAAACCTATAAAAATAAGTAAAAAATCTTTTTTTATTCAAAAATATAATTTTTAAAATTGCTCAAGATTGAAAAAATTACCAAATAAACTGGAAAATCTTTATTCTCTAAAAAAACTTGATTTGTCATATTATTATTTAAGTTTGGAAAACTTATCACTTGAATTGGAAAATCTTTCTTCTTTTCAAAAATTTAATTTGTCAAGTTGTTCAAGCTTGAAAAACTTACTAAATGAATTGACATGTCTTTTTTATCAAAAGAACTTGATTTGTTATATTTTTAAAGCATTAAAATCTTACCAAAGGATTATTCAAATCTTTCTCTTTTATAGATATTTAAATATTTAAATTGTTTAAGCTTAAAAAGCTTGCTTAGTAAATTATCAATTTATTCTTTATGCAAATGCTTAATTTTTTAGGTTGTTCAAACTTGACAAACTTACCAAATGAATTAGCAATTTTTTCTTTTTTTAAATTACTCAAGTTTGAAAAATTTATCAAATAAATTGACAAATCTATTATCTTTATAAAAACTTGATCTTTTAAGTTGTTCAAAATTGACAAGCTTGCCAAATGAATTGTCCATTTCTTCTTCTTTGTAGATACTCAATCTCTTAGGTTGTTCAAACTTAATAAGTTTTAAAAATGAATTGGCAATCATTTCTTCTTTAAAAAAAAATATTTTGGCTTATTTTTCAAGCTCAATAAGCTTATCAAATAACTTAGTAGTTCTTTCTTCTTTAAAAGTCTTTGATATTTCAAGTTACATAAGCTTAACAAGTTTACGAAATGACATAGAAGTTCTTTCTTCTTTAGAAGTCCTTGTTATTTCAAGATGCTCAAGCTTAACAAGTTTGCCAAATAAACTAACAAATCTTTCTTCTTTATAAGTATTTAATTACTTAAGTTTTTCAAACTTAAGAAGCTTATCAAATAAATTGGCAAATCTTTTTTTATTACAAAATCTTAATTTATTAGGTTGTTCAATTGATTTGACAAGCTTACTAAATAAATATAATAAATCTTTTTTCTTTCAAAGAGTTAAATCTATCTTATTGTTCAAGTTTAACAAGCTTATCAAATGAATAGAAAATCTTTTTTATCTTATATAAACTTATTATTTTAGATTATTTAGGTTCCATAAGCTTATTAAACAAGCTTTAAAATCTTATTGTTAAAATCCTACACAATGCTTGGTTAAAGCAAAGATTTTGCCAAAAACTTTGAGATATATCTAGAGGTCTTAAAGACCATGATTATTTTATTAAATCATGGATCATTTTTAGTTAAGATTTCACAAATTGGTAGTAGGATTTTGATTTGTTCAAATTACACCTGCTTCACATTTAATACATAACTCTCAAAATGAAAAGATAATGAGTTTTGAACTATAGTTAAGAATTTGTAAACTGCCAAATGCATTGCAAAGGCTACTTACAACCACTTTAACTACCGAGCTTGTGTATTTTTGACTGCTTAGTAACAAATTTCTACATAAACATATTGTTAAGATTACAAGTAAAGAAGTATTCAAAATTGCATCATATTGCCAAAGGTATTGAATTACTTGAAATAAGAGGCATTTACAAAAGGACTTATAATAAGTGTGGTGCAAAAATTAATTTGAAACTCCAAAGGTGAATTATCTCTAACAAACTTACAAGCCACTATTCTATAATAGCTATGTCTAATACAACACTAGATGGCAAAGTCACCATTATTAACAACAAATCTACAAACAATATGGATGAGAGTTATTCTTCTCGAAATTTTGCAAAGATTATTTAAAAAGACAATGATAATTTCTATGCAAAAGATTCAATGCCAATAGAAGTTTACAATCTACTTGAATAGGTAGTCTAAATGTTCAAAGATTTTACTGCAAAAACAACACTTCTTATACAAGATCCTTTCTATTTTGTTGGTGGTGAATCCATAGCATCCTTGAGAATGGACAAGCTTGTAATTTCTCATGTTTGGCAATGTATCAATAAAATACAACAATATACAATCCACTTATTAGATAAAAAGTGTCTTTGTTTTTTTCTTCACAGTTTTAGTAATTATATAGCAACAATGGGATACAATTGAAATTATAAAAATGGAGATATGATCATAATAGACGTAAGTTTGTTTACAATAGATGTATATCAAATAGGAGATAATAGATTGGAATTTAATATAAGATTTCAAAAATAATTATTTATAAATTTAAGTTTAGGATTACTAAGATTTATATATAATTTATTAAAAATAAGACATAGTTAAAATTTATGAACAAAAAGACAATCTAGTTTTTTTTTTGATAAAATCTCTATATTTAACTTTAAATAAAATATTTGAGATTTTATATAATAAAAATTATTTTTTCTAACTTAATAACTAAATAATTTTTGTATGGCAAATAAAATTTAAATACCAAAATTTTATAATATTCAACCAATTATTTTTATAACTATAACTTTATTATGGAATAATTTTTATTTTAGATGTAATTTTATGGATGAAATCATTCTTATTCTACATATATATATATATATATATATATATACAAATACATTAAATTAGAACTTAAATCTAGAAATCAATTTTATACAAAGTTTAAATTAATTTTCTTAATGAATACTTGATATTAAAATAATAATAAAATTATAATTTTAAACTAAAATTGGTAAGAAATTTATATTTTAGATTTTTTAAGTTTTATTCTTGTACTTTTCCATTTGAAGTTGACATTTGAAGTTTTCTAACTTTTTTTTCTGAATACCTTTATTTTAAAATCTTACTCTTTATTTTTAAAGTTTATTTTCTTTAGTTTTACTTTCTATATAGTTATGTTTAATATCTTTTGCTTTATTTCTATTTTTTTAAATTGACTCTGTATTTATATATATATATATATATATATATATATATGATTGATTAATTTTATTAGCTATTTGCAAGTAATTTAAATTGAAGTAAATTTATTATTAAAATATTTTTTTATCTACAGTAATAAAATTATTTAGTATAAATTAATCACATGGAATCACTTTTATTTCTTTAATTAGTTTAAAATTGAATTAATTTATTAATAAACAAAGATTCTTTTGAATTATAATTTATCTATTTTATTTTTACTTAGGCATAATATGTTTGTCACTATAAAAGTTAATATTAATTAATATTTAAATCATCAAAGCATTATTTTTTATATTAATATTTTCTAAATTAAAAAATTTCATATTTCTTCTCTATCTTTAATTTATTAAAAATAAAATATTTAAAGTTAATCAATCATGGTATTAAATAATATTATAATACATATAATTATATAATTATATATTATTTATAATATAAAAATATAAATATTTATATAAATGATATTATACATATTATATATATAATAATATTATAATTTTTTTATATATATACACACACATATATATATAAAATGTTAAATTTTTCATTTAGACTAAATAGTATATATAAAAATAAAAAAATCTTATGACTACTTCATATATTCTCTAATGTTATATTATAACCTAATATTCTCTTAAATGTTTTTAAAGTACAATAAGAAATATTAAACACCTTTTTTCTTTGCATACAAAATATTCCAAGTTGTGTCTTTTAAAAGCATATCTGCATCATGTACATTTTTAATTTCAATATTTTTTATAGCTTTATTATAAATATATTTTCTTATTTGCTCTGTCCCCTCTCCTCCCTCCATTTTCTTGTAACACATAATTATCATTTTGTTGATTCTTTAACTTTATCACAAACATCTTTAATAAACAGATTTCTAATTACTTTTATATCTAGTAGTTATTGCGATGAATTTATAACTTAGTCACAAATAACTGTACTAATACAAACCTTTAACACACACACACATAAATCATTGCTATCTATTTATTTCATATACAAAAAAAATAAGAAATAAAAAATACAAAAATACAGAAATTAATTTTTTAGTTGGAATATCCAAATTATTCCTCATAAAAAATCATACTATTAATATTTTAGCATCATGAAATTTATCCATATATATTTTGTAAAAACCAATCCTTCATCCAAAGCTCTTTACATTGCACTTCCTACTTAGTTTATACATATCTTCAACATAAATTCAATGAGTAAATATATATATATATATATATATATATATATATACTAGTTTTTTAAAATAAAAACGTAAAATTATAGATTCTAAATAGTGCTTGGTCACATAAATGAATAATGAAAACATTGGCACTTGAGCCAAACTGAAATTCAATGAAGAAACGCAATCCCAATACACATTCAAAACGAGTTGACAAAGTGGTATTCAAAGGAAGCACATCATCGGAGATATTACCGACAAGCGGAGATCGGTGCCCAAACTAGATCGAGGGAGCTCAATGCCGTAGACGCGATGAGGAACACCGAGACTGATCCGATTTATATATATATATATATATATATGAGCGCACTGTTGGTTTTTGAAGCATTGTGTGGAGGCGGATTCAAGCCCTGGATCCGTGATCTGAGAAGAAAATACCACATTTAAAAAATAAAATAAAATAGTTCTTTTTAATTGGGTGCCACGGGCCATGGATGTTGCGGTGATGAGCAAGCAAAGCAAAGCATAGCAAAGCATGAGAATTCAGCCATTGTTGTGAAGTCTGTCTCTCGTGGCATGGAACTCGCACCATGATTTTGTGTTGCGTAAGGTTATGGTTGCATCGCTGAATCTGCTTCCAGACTTCGCTTATTCGGAATAGAAAAAAAGGACCCAAGTAAATGCTCAACCTGAGAAAGCGGAAGATAGGTTTGGAAAGACCACCTGTTTCTATTCCCCCTACTGCTGAAATCTACAGCCACTCCGTCGTATGGGGTAGTCGAATACTTGGTGTAAATCAGTTGGACCTCAGCAATGGTTCGGCGCCCTATCATACCCTAACTTACAAAACTTCAACCGAAATTGCTGTGATCGTAATATTCGGAGCATTTTGTATCGAGAAACACATCTTAGAGTGATTGGAGCTGTTTTTATATATTCGTTTACAGTTTGTATTTTTATTTTAAGGTTTGTTTTCACTGTGTCGAGTCGTGTTTGATTAGAGTAGCGAAGTGGAGAGTAGAAATAAAACTCCGCATACTGACAATTTGTTTCTACTCTCCACAATATCCCAAAGAGACTCCGCACTACCCGATGATCATGTACGGTTTGCAGCCTCTTTGTGATGGGATGTTCACGTTCGTAGCAAGTCAGAACTAGTTTACGAGACGCTTGATGTGGTCATTAGCTGCCCTGCTTTGAGCCTTGGAGATCGCAGGATCGCCCTCCATTTGTCGCGGCATCCTCTTTCCTATCGTGCCTCGTATTGGAGGTGGGTGTATTCATGCGTCTTGCTGCGCCAGTACCCATTTTCACAGTCGGTCGTTTCTTGGTCGCGGTTTTGCTTTGAGGCCTTCTTCTTGAGGTGACGTGGGTTGGTGTTGAAGTAGAATTGATTTGAGGTAACACTTGGGCATTTTCGTCGAAGATTCGGTCCATACGCGCTTGGGAGAGTATCGAGTGGTTCAAACCATCCATACCGGCTCGTGAATTTCGACCTTGCTTGCCTTTTTTTAAAGATATCCTGCTTTTTCTGGATTATTTCAAATTAGTCTGGTGATCTTGGAGGATGGAGGGAACAGAGTAGCTTAACGCAGAGAGGGATATGTAATGAACATAAATTTGACGGGTTGTGATATGAGCAGGAGCTTGCAGTGATGAGTTCGGTTGTGGGCACGCTGAGTGGGAGTGCAACGGAGACGCCCCCGTTTCCATGGGGCCACACTCCGGAGGAAGAGTATTATGCCTCGAAAAATATCACACATCAATCTGAATTTACCAAGTTTCCTCGCGGAGTTTCGCTCTTCACTCAATCATGGGTGCCTTCAAATCGGCCGCCGAAGGCACTCATCCTCATGGTGCATGGCTATGGCAACGACTCTAGCTGGGTATTCCAAAACACTGCAATCTTGTTCACTGAAATGGGTTACGCTGCATTTGCGCTGGACTTGTATGGACATGGGCGCTCCGAGGGTCTTCTGGGATACATCCCAGGCGTGGACAATTTGGTCGAAGACTGTGCGTTTTACTTCAATAGCGTGAAGAACAGGGCTGCGTACCAGAATCTCCCTCGCTTTTTGTATGGAGAATCTCTTGGGGGCGCCTTATGTTTGCTGCTTCATTTTGAGAATCCGACAGGATATGATGGCGCAATTCTCATGGCACCTATGTGTAAAATTTCTGAAAAGATGGTACCGCCATGGCCTGTCGAGTACGCGTTGAGATTCATTGCAAGGTGGGCTCCCACGCTGCCCGTTGTGCCCACTACAGATCTTGTGGATAAGTCCGTCAAAGACCCAGCCAAGAGAATCCTCGCCAAGAACAATCCTCACAGGTAGATTCTCTTCCTTGGCAGTGCCGAAAAGAATTGTTCCACTCGTGTTCTATCTGCTGGTGTTGGGATGATTTAGTTTAGCATAGTCGTGGGTTCCGGTGGAGGTTGTTGCTTGTCAAACCTGACGAGCAGAATGGTATCGAGTGGAAATTTTGCCCTTCTTTTCTCGCATTAAACGTTGTGCGTTTTTTTGTGTGGATGTTTCTGTCTTAAGATGTTTCTTCATGTTATAGCAGCTGTTTTATTTTCTCATTTAATACTAGTACAAACCTAGTTATCTGTCTGTTATACATCTGGGAAATTCTGTTTGTTGACGTTTGGTCTCGGTTTACAGGTATGCAGGAAAGCCAAGACTTGGAACAGTGATTGAGTTGTTGAGAGTTACAGCGAGCTTAGAGGAGAAACTCAAGGACGTCAGCCTTCCCTTTATTGTTCTACATGGTAATGCAGATGTTGTAACAGAGCCTGCCGTGAGCACTTTCTTGTATGAGACTGCAAAATCCGAGGATAAGACGTTACGAATCTACGAGGGTATGCTGCATTCTCTCATTCAAGGAGAACCTGACGAAAACGTTGCAATTATCCTCAATGATATTAGCTCATGGCTGGACGAACGTGTGCAATGCAAGTCCCCGCCAGAAGAAGATTCCGCTTCATGATTTGCAGATTGAGAGCCCATAACTGTGTTGTTTCATTCGAGTAATGGATCATTCTACAGGTGGTTCCCATCTCGCAGCAACCTTCTAGTATTCTCGTATTACTACTTCAGATTTCTCGCCAGCCCATAGTCGGTTGTTTTGATAAGCGACAAGGAGAATGCTATACTGCAAAACAACGTTCCATTATAAATTAAGCTTAATTGAGCTTGATAGATCAGGTATTTATAGTCAAGTCAATATTCAAATTTTGATTAGGACAGATTGGCTTAATTATTGATTGCAAGTGCTGAAGAGATTTGTGTGTTCCAATTTCAAATTCGTCTTACCAGTGATATGTTGATTGAGGCCCTGGGGACAATCAACGAGCCTTGATACGCACCCAAGGCCAGTGAGTTCACTTCCAATTTGAAAACTGGAATCCTGTATTAGTCTATTTAACATTGTCACAGGGTGTGGGGATGTATCATCAGATAGTCTGCAATTTTAACGCAGAGCCTAAGTTTAGAGATCAGGTTGTTAGAATAGTATTTCGCAGTACACTTGCATAAACCTAATGATCGTTAATCATAACCCTCATTGGGTTGCTTCCAGATTTACTCCGGTTGTGTTGGAACATTCCATGAGTCTTCTTTCTCACCTGTTCTAGGTGGTGTATATAATATCATTTGCAAAGTTTTCCAACAATCCTTGTTTACTCTTACAACAGTTTAGAAACATAAGCCAGTTGAGTATGCACAGCTTTAAGAATTCTATCATGTTATCATGTACCATTGGCCATTAACAGTTTTGTCTTCAATTCATTCAAACGTACCTTTTGTTTTTTTTGCACATAAATTTGTAGGTTGTGTGGAGAGTGAAGTTTAGTAAATACATATATACATATATGAAAGTAAAAAAAAGAAAAAAAAGAAGAAGAAAAAAAATTGTAATTGAGGATAAACATTGCTACAGCAAAGGGACGTTGATACCAAGTGTTCTAGAATTTTTATTAAAATGACTGAAAGATATAGAATTGCATTGTTGTATATGGGCTATACTATAATACATAAAATCTCTATTAAATATACATTAAAAAATTTAGTGTATTTCTATGAAACATTATGTTACAATGATACAAGTACTTAAATATTATTAAATGATTAAGATGTCCAATCCAAAGGTTTTAAAATAATATGTATATAAAACATTATATATATATATATATATATAAACATGAAAAATAATTAAATGAATAGATATTTATCAATCGAACCTTCTTTTAAATGATTTTTGTTCATCACTAAATATATATTTACATGAAAAGTCAACAACATCCATGGTTGATGAATAAAACATGTTTCATTCTTTATTTTTATATTTATTATCTTGATATTTAGAGGTTTTAAACTTAAATGAAATAATATGAGAATTCTTTACAAAATTTATCTAAGTAACTGTTCTTGATTTTATCCTAAATTATTCTAAAAACATTTCTTTAAAAGTTTAATAGGATAGTATGATGTTACAATGTTAAAATTTTCTTAAATGCATTTTTAAATGTTGAAATATTCAAATATCATTCATTTTTTCTTATTTCTTAATGTCTGTCACTTTTATTATCTTATACACTAATTTTATTAAATCCAATGTAATTTTTAAAACCTGAAAACCTCCTTCATTGAAAGAAATATATGGATGTAAAAACTTCGATTTTCTTATTTTATTTAATTTTTAAAATAAAAATTTCTGTAAATTTTTTTATCATTAATTGTTCCTTACAGAATAATTCCCTATTTTTCTAATTGATATAATACGATCTCACTTTAACAAATTTCTGAACAAAATTACAATTCAAAGCAATACAACAGCAAGTTTTCGATAAATGAAAACACAAGTCTCAACAACCATCACTCTAAAGTTCCCCTGTTTTCCTCCCAAAGTCTTTGATCCAGAACAAGGTTTGCGGGCACACTGAGACACGATTACGAGGGAACGATCAAGGGGAACGGAGGATGGGAACCTGTTCCATACAGTGGAGAACATCTTGAGAACCGAGAGAGAGGGTTACGCTGCCAGGTGCTCAGACGGGCAGGTGGGCACCCACGCAACGGAAAGAGTCAAAAGTGCTGGCTGCCCGGCCGAGGGGACGAAGAAGAAGGGTATGCATCCTCATCGCAGCAGCAGCAGCAGCAAGACTTTTCCCTCCCTTCCCTTAGCTCATGCTGTTTCTCCCCCCCCCCCCCGCTTCCCTTTGGAGTCCTCTGTCTCGGATGCGTCCGCAACGCAGCTCACTCACTCACTCACTCCACTCCATCCGTGTCCGCGCTATTTCTCCTGCTCGCCTCCTCCTTCGTAAGATTCTCGCGCTCCCCCCTCCTCTTCCCTAATCTCTGCTCTTCCTTTTCCTCGCACTTTTTTGTATTTTTTTATTACTTTAGCCTCACCCCCTCCTCCCCTCGCTCACTGTTTAAATATTCTTTGCCGGCGCAGCAGAGAGCGTCGCGTAGTTTTGTAAAGATTGTTGCGGTGTGTCGCGGAAGCAGGGTTAGCCTCGTTTAAGTTGCGAGGCAAGGGTGTGTTTGGCTAAGGGAGTCTGGTGGAGGTTTTTGTTGAGGAAGGGATGGTTGTGTAGGGTGGAAAGTGTTGTGGGAGACTGTTGCGAAGGGAAGCGGAAGGAGAGGGATGGATTGTTCTTGTAGTTCCGGGGAGTTGGCGGGAGTCTGGAAATGGTAGTGCAGTTGTTTTTTGTGGAGGAGAGTCGGTGTTAGAGGAGGTTTTATGAGGGAGTGTTAATGCTAGGGTTTATGTCCTTGTTTTTAGCTCATATTGAATTGTAGACCTAGGGATTGTGTGTGGAGTTTCTATTGTGGTGTTTGTTCCCTGTGAGCTTTGGACGACTGCGTTTTTTTTTTTATTTTTTTTTTTATTTTTTATTCTAGCCAGCGCTGTTAGGCTCACCGTCTTGCATAGTTTTGTTTCACTGCTACCCTACTACGGCTGCTGATTACATCTCGCTGGAAAGATTTATGAGCAAATTGTTTGTTTCTGGATTGTACATTGTGTTTCTGAAGTAGCACCGCTAATGGTGCTAGCCTCGTGTAGTTTATGTTTTTATTTCGACGCCTTGGTTATTTATCCTATTAGTTTCGCTTGCTTAAGGTGATTGTTTAAGTTTGAGTTGGTCATTATTAGGTTAGGGTAGTAAGTTACCTTTTCCACTTTCTATTTGTGTTTAATTTTCATGAAATGACAGAGAAAACATGTAATGCTGTGGTCAGCGATTGTTTTCCTCGATTGAAATAATTGAAGTTGTTCGCCTCCTCTTACATTGATCTTTACATTTAAACATCTACTGAAATTGTAATGCTGGAGACAGATATGATCCAGTGATAGCAATGGTACCGAGAGAATTCGTTACATTATCGAAATGCAAACTAGATGCTTGATTACGGCTCGTCCATCATGTACTATCCTCTTCGCCATGAGTCTAATGCCAACAAAGAGGTATACATTTTGCATCACTGATCTCTTGCGATTGCTGTACAATACTGAGTCACTGTTCAAATGCAGAGCTTAGCATCCCGTCAGTTTGTTGTGTCATTTCTGCTCGATTTTATTTCTCTCAAGCAGCTGCTCATTACGATTGTATTTCTTTGTTTATCTGTTTATTTAAGAATAAAATTGTGAGCTGTTACTGTCTGCAGTCTATGCTAAACAGCTCGGCTACATCACTACTTGATGGCTCCGCAAGCACTGCTAGACCCTTCGGATCTTATTCTTTCACGCCACAATCAGGGACAACACCCGGTTTTCACCACGCAGGTAGTCTGTTATCCCTTGGATTTCCTCGATTTTGTGAGCCTGAAAACTGTTGATGCCTTACTCACAGGTATCATTTATTTGCAGGTAACCTTCAAGGATTGCATAATCAGGGCAACTACAATATGCAGACTATGCCAAATACATTGTCCTCTAGAAACGCAGGGTATGGAGGGCCTTCTAGCGCCGCTCATCAATCTGGTGGTGGCGTGTCTTCTGGTCGGTTCTCAATCAACAATCTTGGCGTTGGTCTCTCTCAGGTAATTTTTTCTCATAGTTTTCTGATGATCTGAGTTGTGTCCGCGTCTAACTCTGACATTAACATGCGTGAAAAATTATTTTTTCTTTTTTTTAAAAGCGATTTGCAAGTGCCACAGCTATCATGTTGCCCTTTTCCCCTCGAATCGACTGTCAAGGTCAGGGAGGTGTCTGAAATCAACATCTATGGGTTTTAATATATCATCCTCGAAATCATTATTAGCCATCTCGTGTACTTCTTCATCTCCATGCAACATTTTTTAGGATATTTATTTGTCGCAGTACTGTTTTGAAAATATTCGGTTTACAAATGATTCTAGTTGGCCTCCCTAGTGATTTTTGTTCAGTTCACCCATCTATCTGATAGAGACCTTCGGTGACGAAATGAGTGAATTGATCACACCTTTTACTTCCGTTTTGGGCTTGCCAACAGTTGTCGCAGGGAGGGCTTCAAGGACAGTCGTCAATGACGAATCGCACAGGATCTAGTGTAGTGGGAAATCATTCCTTCAGCAACAACGTGAACGGAGTCGGGGGATCTGGTGTAGGGTCTCCTGGGTCTAGCTCCATTTCAAATCGTGGCTCGTTGTCAGGTATGGGAGGATCACCGTCGCTGATGGGAAGTGTTGGACCCCGTTTAACAAGCTCTGTCGGGGGAGCGAGTCTCGCTGGAGGGGGTGGACTTACAAGAGCGTTGAATGCAGGGGGTAGTGTGAATATGCAAAATTTGAATAATTCACGTGTGAATATGGGACAATTTAGCTCTAGCAGTGGGATTGGTGTGCAAGGCCCAGGGCGGCCTGCCAATTCTCTACTGCAACAAGGTGTAAACATGTCTTCATCCTCTTACAATCCTTCAGGGGATCTCCTGGCCATGCTTAGTCGAGGTATTAAGGTTTCTTGTTCTTCAACCCGTGCTTGTTGTTTATTACTTAGCGTATCCTTCGTTTCCTCAATTGTTTTGATCTATTTGTTGATGTGCTCCTTAATGCGCCATCTAACTCTTCGCGAACATAAGTACGGTTTGTTCTGGAGATTCGCTTCTTGTTTGGTTGTTAGTTATTTTCTGTTTGTTTGTTTCTCTTATTTCTTCTTTGATTTTTTTTTCCTACTATGTTTGTTTTCTTTGTTTTTTGGTCCTCCCCTCCCATTCTCTTTCTTTATTTCTTTTTGCCCCCGCGCCTCTTCAGCAGCGGGTAGTCCATGGATTTTGTTGTAAGTGTGGATTGATAAACATTAGCATAAACTGAGGAATTCAACCACCCTCCCCCTCTTTGTTTTGGCAGCATCACCTCAAGGTGTCTCCTCCATGTTGGGGAACAATTTTTCTACGTCTCCAAGCTCAGGCATGCAAGGGCAATTTCACTCTGCAAATGGCCATATTGGAGGCATGAGTCCTAGCAGTGTTGGGAACGGGAATGATGGCGTGGCTTTCGATATTAATGACTTTCCTCAATTAACAACTCGGCAATCACCATCTGGAAGTATGCAGGGATCTGTAGGTTAGTCTTGTGTGTTTGTTTCTGAGAGAGGGATAGCGAGACATAGAGCCAGAATATTTATTTGATCTGTTTCTGGTTCTTGCCGATCAATTAGTAGAACAAAGATTTACAGAGGTTTTAGAACGTTCCTTAGGGTATCGTGTGAGGTGTATGACTTGAACTAATTGTTTTTTTCGTGTCTTTGCGTGTAAACACTGAATGAGATGCAACGATTTTCTCCCTGTTTCAATGTTGCTATTCTTCTCAATGCTGTCGGCGGTTTTGGTGGCGTTTGGGTTGACTTTTGGTTGACTCAGCATTGTGTGTTGTCCTGGCAGGTGGCTTGAGAAAGCAAGGAATCAACGCCATAGTTCAACAAAACCAGGAATTCAGTATTCAGAATGAGGATTTTCCCGCCTTGCCTGGATTTAAAGGTGGTCGTCCGTATGACTTGTTCTATTTGCTAAGGTTTGTTGAGTGTCGCTGTAGTCTGAGCATCAGTGGAGTAGTCTTAACGATACCGCAGACAGTGTACATGTATCTATTTGTTCAGAGAACTTCAATTGAGGGTGGTGAATAATCTGTTGAGGAGTTCAAAAACTTGAAGTTTGTGAGATTAGCATATGAATCATGCTGCTCTCAACTTATCGAGGGTATTTTCTACATGTAGGTGGGAGCCATGAACTATCATCTGAACTGCATCAACATCAAAAGGATCAGCAGCACGATTTATCTATGCAAGCGCAACACTTCTTGGTAAATAAGTGATTAAGAAGATGATATTTTTGACGATTTTTCACTCTAGGAAACATAAAGATTGGATCGGAAAAATCTAAAGGTGTACTTATTGATGTTGCTGGTTATGGAGGATTTGCCTAGTACTTTGTTATGTACTTCCCGTTTCATTTCATGATCGGATAGCAGTTTGTTTTTGTGAATGGATTGTGGTGCCCTCAGGAAGTGAAAGTGACACTTTTGAGTTGGTTTAGTTAAGTTTAGTTAGTCACATGGTTTCAGTGCAGATGGGGAGGTCTACTGGATTTTCGCAGGGAGGTATCTATGCAACGAACCGACATTTGTTGCAGCAGCAGCCAGCTGGAAACGTCTCTGATCTACAACATCTACATGCTGGTGTTGCGGATTCATTCTCTTCAACTCGTGGTCTCTCTGCTTCTTATCACTCTCAGGTGAGATTATTTGACATTTCGTTAGGATGGTCAGGCTGCTGTGCTGACAATGTGTGAACTTCAGTTCTGTTCGGTAACGTTGATTGACGTACTGCCATGACTGGCGTTGTTTCTATTTCACAGTGACCTAAGATGAATCGCCTCTTAGTTTTTAAACTATTTTAACACGTACTCGATGGCCATTTATGAGTAGAATCGAAAATTTGAACTGCAGCTGGGATATTTTTGTTGGAATTTATCTGTCCCTAAAACTGTACTTTCCACGTGGGGTTTGCAGACAGGTACTCCAGGGTCCAGTGCAACGCAAGTGCATCGGTCTGGGGTTGGTGGAGCATTAGGTCAATATGATCAGAACTTGAACTATCAACACCAGTCTCCTTCGAGAACTGGAGGGACGTTTACTCAACAACAGCATCAAGCAGGGATGACGGGAACACTTCGTGACTCTTTGAAGCAAGGGGGCTCAGCTCACCAGCCTGACCGTTTTGGTTTACTAGGTTTATTGAGTGTAATAAGGATGAGTGATCCAGACTTGACAGCGTTAGCTTTGGGTACGGATCTTACGACCCTGGGACTGAATCTTAACTCGAGGGAGAACTTGTACAAAACATTTGCTTCTCCGTGGGCTGACGAACCCATTAGAGGCGAACCCGATTTTGTGGTTCCTCCATGCTATGACCAGAAAGCTCCACAACTGCAGGTATACTTCTTTATCGCTAGTAAAGTAGTCATGTTTTAAAGTTAAATACGTCTAGGTCTGTGTCGATTTTCTGCTTTTCGTATGAAAGTCTGATGATCTTCAAGGGTTCGATTGATTCTAACAGTGCTTCTAAGGAAGTAACCGAGTATTTGGTAGCAATTTTTGTGGCACTTTGTACTACTCGTCACTTAAACTTAGTTTATTTTCATCTTGCAGCCGAATCACTTTACCAAGTTCCAAGATAATACTTTGTTTTATATCTTTTACAGGTAAGCGCTTGTAGACTCTTGATTGCACATGATGCTTCAAAATCATTCCTATTGCATGAATATTATTGCTCTTTGTTCCATCGAGCTCTAAGTCATCAGGTGCCTTCAATTTCTATGTGCAGCATGCCAAGAGACGAGGCACAATTGTGTGCGGCCAATGAGTTGTAAGTCGCTTACTGCACCTTGAAAACCTAGTTATTGTCTTAAAGTCGAGAAGTGAGAATGGTCCTTATACGCGTAGTATTGTCGCACTGATCATTTTTAAAATCAGAGGAAATTCTAAAGAATCATTTGAACAAATCTTCTATGATGTCTTGGTAAAACTGTTTCGCTTGAGATTTACTATTCATTGTGTCCGTGTTCATACCAGGTTAAATAGGGGGTGGGTCTTCCATAAGGAACTCAAGAGATGGTTGAAGCGTGCTCCGAATAGTGAGCCAATGGTCAAAACTCTGACATACGAGCGTGGCACGTTTTACTTTTTGGATCCCGCCACTTTGGAGATGGGATGCAAGGTACGAATTATGGTTCTGTTATCACTCTTTATCGATGCCCACTCTTTGTTTAAGGTTCTTCCGTCATCTCTAAAGTCTTTGGATCTATTTCGTATGAAACATAATCAATAGAGTTTCTTAGGCTTAATATGCAAGTAAAATTTACATATCGGTTTTAAAAACTCAACGTATTGTATATTTTTTTGGGATAGGTGGAAAGCACAATTGTGAATTATATAGAATTTAATCACAATAATGAGGAATCAAATGGAATTAGTTTTAAACTCGGAAATTTGTCGCATTGTTAGTTTTGGACCCTGACTCATAGAGCTTGTAAATGTAATAAAATTTTCAACACTTGGTTTTTAAACGATTTGATTAGCTCCACTTCTTAGTTCGGTTGCAAGGCAATAAAAAATTATGTTGTGTTGACACTGACGACTTACGGTATAGGTGCTGAATGGGAGGATGTGTAAGGGATCAAAGTCACAGTAGACAGGCTGGTGATGTGTAATTAATAATTATTTTGGGATTTGTCATCAGGAAAACTTTGTACTGCACTACGAAATGTTGGAGAAATGTCCAAACCTGCCTGCTCAACAGTGAACGGACGAGACATGCTTAGCTGGGTGATCTGCAACGGCGTATCCGATTTCAGGGCTTTTTTAATGTTTTTCAGATGTTCATACTTGTTCCATTTTCTTTAATGAATGTAGTTGACCTTGCAGCTTTCAACTTCGAGTCGACTTTCTCCAGTTTATTTTGTATTGTGAGCTTCCAGTCCTGTCGGTTGAACAACGCTGGCTGAGTTGCAACGGGCATTGTGGGACTTATTTTGGTAAATAGTTGCGGAGTACTGAACTTTTGCTTGATATTATGTGATCAAATTCCTTAAGTCGATGTGCCATGTGGTTGTCTTATTTTGCCTGGATAATGATCACTGGAAAATAGCTCTAAGGTGGCCAAATTTTAGCACCTTATGAAGCCGACTATCGTTAATGCGACGCTTTTTACTTGAATTTGACTCAAATATTTTTCTACTTTTCTAACGGCCAGCTTCCAATTTATATTGTTCGATTATGAAGTAAGCCATTTAAAACTTGAGTCGTTTTTGATTAGTACAAGAGAAGTAGAGAAAGGTGACAAGCAGCTATCTGAACTATCCTCTGGATACGCGTTTTCTGTTGCTTGTGAAATTGTCTTTTTGAAGCCTAACAGCTTCATCTAAGGCTTCAATGACGAATTGTCTGCACAAGGTTATCGAGTTCAAATGTCGAGATGAGTATTAAGAGTTTACAACCTAAAGTATCAAGAGCCGTTTTCGTGACGCAAGAATAATGTTACATATTCAGAAACAAAGAAAATTGTAAATTCATTGAAGAAACAATTAAGAGAGTGAGAGTTTTTTAAACTTTGATTTTACAATGACATTTGAATAGAACAAAAGATTGGATGGGTGGTACAGTTGTGAGGACGAGAAGTAATTGCAAAATAAAGTAGGTGGAGAGAAAAAATAAAAGTAGATTGGGTGGAGACTGCCGATGAAAATTTCGATCACATGAGTCTGACAATGACTCTTAAAGCTTAATATCTTACATATGTATATACATACATATACGATAAAATCACCGATTTGTTTTCTTTCTTTTTGTTTTTAATATTAGATAAAAACATTGGATTTTTAGAGTTTATAAAATATGATAAGACAAAATGACTTCAATATAATTATTTAGTAAAAAGTTATAATGTAAATTTGACAACATATCTATTTGAATATATACATATATATAAATGTCTAAAAAATATATATCAATATCAAATTATTTTGTTTAAATTTTATTATTTTTAAAATAATAAATTTATCATAGTTCAATACATCTCTTATATAATATTGAGATATATTGGAGATTATAGAGAAATTAGTGAAAAGTATGTTAGATAATTTTATAAAATAGTTTAGTTTAATTTATTTGATTTTGTGGTATAAGTTGGCAAAATAAGCAGAAAAAGTCATTGAAAAGAGTTTTACAAAACCACATCTAAAATCAACCTCCAAATAAAGACTTACTAGTAGTTTGTTATATAGAAGAGATGAATGCTAAAAAAATCTTTCTTATAAATAAATAGATATTCATTTCAAAGATTGAACAAGTTCTTAAGGCTTATTAATATGATATAAGAAGTTCATTATAATTAAGGTCCAAAAAAGAAATCTTAGAAATGACAATGGATTTAGATTTTATCATGTATTAGTTTATTAGATCCATTAATATTGATTTGAGATTAAAAAAAAAACTCTTGGACTAATCTCATCTATAGGCTATCTTTCCTTAGCTTCAGTCTACTCCTATTATCCTTGAGCTCCAAGCTTGTGCAAAAATAGTGAATATTTTTTGACATGTCTAAACAACTAATTTGAGTAGAAAGATTTTTAATTTTAACTTTTTTCTTATGTTCAATTTGGAGGTTGATCCTTGATTATCTATTTAAAGTATTAAAATAGATAACTCACTTCAACAAGGATTAACAAGATGAGTAGAAGTTTACAAAATTTTATATTATATAATATTGATATTATGTTATATTATATTATATGGTATTTATGATTTTTTCTACACTTCTAGTTCATTCAAATTAATCAAAATACCTTATCATTTTTTTTTAAAGAATGTCTGTATTTTATTTTAAAAGGTCTAAAATTATAATACAAAGAAAGATGATGAATCTACACAACACTAAGTCAAGCCACTTCTCACACCACAAAGAAGGAATCTAAGAGTGAAAGTGTGAATAGAAAAAATCCTAAAGCTTTATTAAATGGCTAAATTACTATAGCCAAGCAAACCCTTAAAACACAAGTTTTTTTTTTTTTTTTTTTTTTTTTTTTTTTTTCTTTCTTTCAAAATAACTTACAAGACTTGATTTGACAAGAGTATTAAGTCACTGTCACGGACACAGAATACAGACTTGATATCTACCAAGAAGTTCAAGAAGAATTGGCAAGAACTAGATTAATCAGATGAATACAAGAACAACACCAGAGAGGTGAGCTAGAGCTCCAAGAGATGTGTTGTCGAGACTGAAGAACTCTTCAGCCTCGATTTCAATATATACTCCTATTTAGGAAGCTTCTCAAGCAACTTCCACCAACTAGGAAGCTTCTAGAAGGTTCCAGAGACTTGCTTCTAGAAGGTTCTAAAAACTTATCTCTAGAAGGTTCTAAGGACTATGTCCCTAACATCTTCTACCAACTAAGAAGCTTCTAGAAGGTTCCAGAGACTTGCTTCTAGAAGGTTCTAGAAGCTTGTCTATAGAAGGTTTTAGAAACTTGTCTCTAGAAGGTTCTAAGGACTATGTCCCTAACATCACCCCCTCCTTTAGCTTCGAGGTCTCTAAGAAGCAATGTTGTTGTCAATCAGTACCAACGCAAGAAAATGAAGATTTGTCGCATAACGTCTGCTATGAACTCCAACTGTTGTTCACGAGGTAAGTGGTTCATCGGCCCTTGAAGCCAACGGTAGTGGCCCACTCCTTCAACTTCTGACCAAGCATGAACTTCCGTGTCTTCATTGTGAAATTATCCTGCAAATATGCCTTCTGGTTGACCATCGTAAGGAGGCTCGGACTCAAATACAATCACCAGTGATCGGTTACTTGGTATCCTCCGTCGTCGTCGTGGTGCAGGTGGTTCTTCATCTCGAGGTCGCCTTCGTGAACTAGTTGGTTGAGATAATCTGACTGGCATAGTATTTATCTCTTGGCTATCCATATCGGAAGACCAAACTATGGCTACTGAAAAAATTCTATTTTATCTTCGAGAAAATAACTACATCAACTACGAATTTTGGTGGTGCTCTCCCTCTTTCTTATATTCTCAGATGAGCAAGCTTCAGAAAGAAGCTATTGTCGAACCGGCTTAGGTTTATGAGGATGTTGTTGATGAAACTCCTGTACCTTTTGCGGCGCATTGGTGAGATTTTCAACTGGCTCCCACGTTCGCTCATTAATGTCGTAGCCGCACCAATGAACAAGATACTCCAACTTGCTCCACCTTCGCCGAAAATTCAGCACCTTTTCAACCTCGTATTCCTCGTGGTTCTCGATCTCAATACTAGGTGACGGACATTGCACTCTTCCAGGAAAAGATGACTCTCGATAAGGCTCCAACAAAGAAACATGAAAGACTGGATGTACCTTCAAAGAAACTGGTAATTCTAGACGGTACGCCACTGGATTGATTTGCTTTTGGATGATAAATGGTCCCAATCTTCGATAGTCCAACTTATCACATGGTCGCTTGGTCTTGATATTTCGTCGAAGAAGCCATGCTTTATCTCCAATTTTGAAAGTAGGTGCTTGATTCCGAAATCTATCTGCAGACGCCTTATAGGATTCTTGAGCGGATTGTAATTGAAGCTTCAACGTATTTTGAAGCTCTGATAGTTGTTTCGCAAATCCTTCAGCTGCTGGATTATTATTTGTTGATGGACTCAATAAATCAAGCTTTGGATGATACCCATAGTTGGAAAAGAATGGTGTGTATTGAGTCGACGCATGGATGGTGTTGTTATATGCAAACTTGGCTAGCGACAAATATGTGGTCCAATCGTCTTGGTGATAGTTGATGCTGCATCGTAAGTATTGTTCCAAGACTTGCTTCACTCGTTCTGTTTGACCGTCAGTTTGAGGATGAAAAGTCGAAGAAAGCTTGATATCCACCTTCAGTATCTCAAAGAGAGATCTCCAAAACTTTGATACGAACTGGGTTCCTCGATCTGATATGATATCATCTGGTAGTCCATGATATCGATACACATTATCGAGAAAGAACCTTGTTGTAACTTCACTAGATGATGTCTTCTTGCAAGAGACAAAGTGTGGCATTTTTGTAAGCCGATCTACCACGACAAAGATGCTGTCAAATGAGTTCGATGATGGCAGGTCCGTGATGAAGTCCATGGAAATTGAACACCATGGTCGACGTGGAATCAGCAATGGCTGTAGGAGTCCATAAAGGCGATGCCGAGGATTCTTGGATCTTGAACAGATGTCGCAGGAGAGGACAAAATCTTTCACATCCTTCCACATTTGGGGCCACCAAAAATCTCGAGAAATAAGCTCCAAGGTCTTGTTGAATCCAAAATGTCCCGCAGCTGGAAAATCGTGGCGAGATTGAAGAACTCGGAGTCGTGCTGGTCCTTTTGGGATATACAACCGCTCTTCAAAGTATAAAAGATCTCCCTCCACCTTGAACTTGTCGTCATTGGCACGCTCCTTAATATCAATGGCTACTGAATTTTCAATGGTTACGGCACGTACCTGATTCATGAAGTCAGCATCAATTGGCATAATAGTAGCGCAAAGCTGAAATTGCTCTGGCTTCAACAATGTCATACATTGTTGATCAAACGCTGCTTCTCCAGCCTTTGGTATAAGATACGATCTCTTCGATAAGGCATCAGATAGTCCTTGCTGCTTTCCAGGTCGATAAGTGATAATAAAATCGAACCTAGATAGCAACATACTCCATCGAGCTTGACGTCGATTTAGAACTCGAGCCGATATGAAATACTCCAAATTCTTGTGATTTGTGTATACGGTCACTGGATGTGCAGCTCCTTCAAGTAAGCGACGCCATTCTTGGAAAGAATCCACTATAGCAAGAAGTTTCTTATCGTGGATCTCATAATTGATTTCAGCAGTAGAGAACTTTCGAGAATAGAATGCAACCGGATGGAGCTTCTTGTCTCCTCCTATTTGTGAAAGTATAGCTCCCAAAGTAAAATCCGAAGCATTAGTTTCTAAATAGAAGACCTTTGTAAAGTCTGGATGTACCAAGATTGGAGCCGTAGTAAATGCTGTCTTCAAGTTTTGAAACACCTTCTCT